AGAATCCCCCAGTGAGGGGCTGGGGGCGTGGCTCAGTGGTAGAGCCCCTGCCTAGAATCCCCCAGTGAGGGGCTGGGGGCGTGGCTCAGTGGTAGAGCCCATGCCTAGAATCCCCCAGTGAGGGGCTGGGGTGTGGCTTAGTGTAGAGGGCCTGTCTAGCACATTGGAGACTATGGGTTTAAAAGAGTGAGTGTGTGTGTGTGTGTGTGTGTGTGTGTGTGTGTGTGTGTGTCTGACCAATATGGAGTTAATAGGTCTGTTAGAACTTTTAAGTGCCTCAGGGTAGTATCGCCAGATTCCATGCTGGGAATGTCTATACTCACTACTGTCCCAAGACCTCTGGTTTTCAGTGCCATCATCTTGTCCCCAGCCATGCGGAAGAGGGCCAAACACCCCTGGATGCCTTCCAGCTTCCAGCCATTGTGTCTCATGAGGATCCACCCAGCCCAGGCCTGGAGCCCACGGGTTAGCTAACTCCTTCCCACCTGTATACCCACAAAAGACTAAAGGGACCTCCGGGACCACCCATTATGGAAGCCACTTGACATATGTGGCTATTTACGTTCACGTTAAAGTTCAATGTCCTTGGGGCTGGAGAGATGACTGGATAGGTAAAGTGCTTGCCTGGAAGATTTGATGGTATGAGTTTACTTCCTCATAAAGAAAAGCCAGGTACAGAAACCACTTCTGCAATCCCAGTGCTGGAGAAGCAGAAGGATGCTGAACTGGCAAACTCAAGATTGATTGAGAAAGCCTGTTTTGAAATGGAAAGTGAAGGGGTTGGAGATGTGGCTCAAAGGTTAAGAGCACTTGTTGGCCGGGCGGTGGTGGCGCACACCTTTGGTCCCAGCACTCGGGAGGCAGAGGCAGGTGGATCTCTGTGAGTTCAGGACCAGCCTGGTCTACAGAACAAGTTCCAGGACAGCCAGGGCTACACAGTTATTGCAAATAAACAAACAAAAAAAAAGGAGCATTTGCTCTTACAGAGGACTCAGGTTTGATACCCAGCACCCACAGAGCTCAAAGCCAAACACAATTCTAGTTCCAGGGGCTGGATGCCTCTTTTGACCTCTGTGGGCACCAGGCATTCATGTGATGCACAGACATCCTTGTAGGCAAAACACCCATACACATAAAATTATAAGTCTAAATGGAGCTGGGAAGGTGGTTCAGCAAATAGGAGCACTGGCTGCTCTTCCAGAGGACCAGGGTTCAATTCCCAGCACCCACATGGCAGCTCACAACCATCTGTAACTTTAGTTCCAGGAGATCTGACACCTGCTCCAGAGGCAACAGACACACATGCAGGCAAAGCACGCAAACACATGAAATAAATATATATTAAAAAATATTAAACCGGGCGTTGGTGGCGCACGCCTTTAATCCCAGCACTTGGGAGGCAGAGGCAGGCAGATCTCTGTGAGTTTGAGACCATCCTGGTCTACAAGAGCTAGTTCCAGGACAGCCTCCAAAGCCACAGAGAAACCCTGTCTCGAAAAACCAAAAAAAAAAAATAAAAAAATTAAATAATAGCTCTCTAAAAATTAAAGGGGGGGGCTGGAGAGATGGCTCAGTGGTTAAGAGCACTGACTGCTCTTCCAGAGGTCCTGAGTTCAATTCCCGGCAACCACATGATGGCTCACAACCACCTCGAATGAGATCTGGTGCCCTCTGTTGGCATGCAGACAGAAGACTGTATACATAATAAATAAATAAAATCTTTAAAAAAGGTTATTTTAAAAACAAATTAAAGGGGGGGGGGCAGGTGCCGTAGCACACACCTTTAATCCCAGCGCTCAGAGGCTGGAGGATCTTTGTAAATCTTAGGTCAGCCTGGTCTACATAATGAGTTCCAGGCTATCCAGGGCTACACAGCGAGACGTTGCCTCAAAAATAATACAACCAAGTAGGGCATGATGGTGCATGCCTTTAATCGTAGCATTCATGAGGCAGAAGCAGGCAGATCCCTGAGTTCCAGGACAACCAATAGTACACATAGAGAAAAAAAAAAAAAAAAACCCCCTCAAAAAAAAAAAAAAAAAAAAAAAAAGGAAAACCAACTTTACAAAGCTATTCTCTGATGTGGACAAAGCCTTCATGGTGGTATCTGTGCCACCCCCATCATGCACACGTACATTCATAATAATAGGAATGAGGAAGACCACCAGTATTGATGTCTCTCCTCCATACCCTAACCCGCACACACAAAGAAGGCTTAGAATCGGCTTCAACACTAGGAGGCCTGGGGAAAATCCATTATTGAGGGAATGGGGGCGTGGCTCAGTGGTAGAGCCCAGTGAGAATCCCCCAGTGAGGGGCTGGGGGTGTGGCTCAGTGGTAGAGCCCCTGCCTAGAATCCCCCAGTGAGGGGCTGGGGGTGTGGCTCAGTGGTAGAGCTCTGCAAAGAATAAAAACAAATTATCTTCTTTAGAGGACGAGCCTCCAGTGGACGCGAAGCAGGCTGCCCCTGTGGACCAGGACAAGGACAAGGACCCTCAGGCCAGAAGCAAACGCATCAAAGTGGAGCCTGGTCCGAAGGAAGCTAGAGGCTCAGAGGACAGTGGAGAGGAGGAGCTCTCAGACCCTCCCGCCCCACCCCTCCCAGAATTCACTTCTGTCATCCGGGCAGGGGCCCTGAAGCATGATCCAGTACTGCCCTGGGGCCTGACAACTCCTGGGGACCCCTCACCTGCCCAGTGTCATGCGGGCTTCCTGCCACCGGTGGTACGAGGCCTGTGCACACCAGGCACCATCCGCTATGGCCCTGCAGAGTTGAGCCTGATGTATCCGCACCTGCACAGGCTGGGCCCAGGTCCCACACTCCCAGAGGCCTTTTACCCTACGCTGGGCCTGCCCTATCCAGGGCCCACAGGTACTAGGGTACAGCGGAAGGGAGACTGAGAAGCCAAACCTGGGGCATATGTCAAGGCCTGAAGTCTTCCTTGAAAATTAAACACCATTCCCTGAGAGGCTCCATTCCCATTGACCCTGCATGACTGTTTTTTCTTGTCCCTTTAAATTATTTATTTACTTATCTGTTTGTTTGTTTGTGGGGGGCGGGGGCAGGTTTCTGGTGTGGTGCAGTGCGGGAATTAGCTCTCTTCTTCTATCGCGTGGGTCCTGAGGATCAAACTCAGGCTGCCAGGCTTGGGAGCAAAAGCCTCTACGCAATGAGCGGTCTTGCCTCTTTCTTAGACCCTTCTATCTGCCTCGTCCCTATTGGTTGCCCTCGTCTCCCTTCCCCGCCTCCCCAGATAACAGGAGCCATCACTCGTAGTCTTGAACTGCTGAAGGGTCAGGTTTAATGTCCCAGTCCTCCGGCCCAGCCAGTCCCCACAGCCCTGCTGTT